TAACGTCCAACATAGGTGTATCACCCAAAGATCTATTGCTGAATTACCTAGCCCTGGGCACAGAACATAACTCTAGCACAACAAAATTAGGCTGTCACATGATCCTAGCCCTGCCACCCCCAACAGCAACAACTACCAAAAATTACATGCCTCCAAAGCTAGAAGAAATCCTGAACTTTTTAAGTTACAGCATCAAAAGGAACACAGTTCACCATCCCTAGCAAAGCCACCACTACTTCTTACTACTTTCTCAATCATGTTTACTAAGAGAACAAAAGGACTTTTAAAAATCAAAATCAATGGAGGGCAGGGATAGGGACAAAGATCTAGTAAAAAAAAAAGGGGGGGGGGATTCTGGAGGCCTTATGTGGACAACTTAGTTTTAAAAAATGCTTTTTTTTTTAAGGAAGATGCCCAACCACCCACATGTTTATTTACATGCAACAGTGGTCTAGTGAGCGCCAACACTGTAGGAGCCTAGTGTTCTGAATGCTCTCAGATCCTCTGGCTCCACCTGTGACTATCAACTACTCTTTAGACAATATCCAATACAATAGATTGGTAAAGCCATCAATTCTTACATTACAAACTCTATCTGCCTCTGTCAGGTATGCTTTGTTTCTTGGGAAGATAACAAGCTAATGTTCAGCATCAACCTCAATGATTTTTCTTTTTCTTTTCTTTTTTTTTTTAAACAGCGAATCAACAGTCACATATTTGCCTTCAAATATACACGGTTTGAAAGCAGTGAACAACTCTAGGATTTACCATAGTCTTCTCTCATCTTCCTTCCTCCCTACCTCCAAAAGAAGGCTAGTAAAACCCACTTACTCTAAGGTAGGCCCAAATATGAGGCGGCCAAATAAGAACCCTGAAAGGTTCTTACAAGGGGACATACTGAGACCCACAAAATCCAGGACCTCCACCCTAAAAGTGACTATTACTTTTTGATAAACATGAAGAGTTTCTCCAAGTTATCAATCAAGACTGGTAGCAAGAAGATTTATTTTAACATTACTTCTCCAGGGCACCTTTTGTGCAACACCACGGGTGCTAGAGTTATTACATACAATTTTTGGATTTGGGCATGATTTAAAAAACATTTCACTTTTTAGCATAATGCAAAATTAAGCTTCCACTCTCCTACAAAAGAACACAAAACTCCATGTATATATCTGTACATCTGCTTCTCCAAGCTGAGAAATAATTCTCTCTAATCAGTAATTCATATTAAAAACAAACTTTCATGTAGAGTAGCTTTCATGCATGTAACTACAGCACCTAAGCCCTACCACTTGATTCACTCAATTTGCTTAAAACCATTCACAAAGAGAAGAGACAAGTTAGATTTTACTTCTCCTTTGCCTTGTCATGAACAATAACTAAAGCAGTGAAAATTTAAACAGCTATGGTTAGTACTTTGCAGAGGTTGTACTGCCACTTTAATTAAGTCAAAGGCATATGTGTGGAGAGTAAAACTGTTCCAAAATGAAACCAAAAACAAACAAACAACGTTTAATTCAGAAAGAACATGGGTCTCTGTTTAGTCCTTTTAGCTAAAGAAAGATAAAGATTTTAAAAAATGATACAAAATTCCACCAATGGGAACTATGTACTCCACCAACTTTTAAGACAAACACTGTATCTTCTTTGGTTCCAAAGACTGAACCTTCTGAATCCAAAGAGAAGGCAAGTGAACAAGATGACCTGTAACCCAGAACAAATTCTCTGGGTCCTGTGATACTGTATTACTGCTTACTTCTGCGGTGCAATACTGCACACTTCTCCAGATGCATCAAAAAATAATTACTCTTGATTGCACAGGTGCTTCTCTGAGCAATTTTCCTTGCCCACAAATCTGGTATAACAGTGCTGGGATAATGTAATTTAAGCATTTTCCATTTGTTAATATATAAGAGGTAGGCAAGCAGACTAGAGAGGAGAAAGGAACCAAGAGTCTAAGGGGAAGCAGATGCTTTTCCTTCTAAATTATCATATGCAACTCAATCCCAATTGTGGTTGCTCAAATCCAATTGACTTTAATGCTTTTCTCCACATGGAAGTAAAGTGGTTACTTCACGAAAGAATTTAATCCAGTTCCTACGGCCTGGCAAAGGTTTTTGTTTTTGTTTTTGTTTTCCATCAGAGAGTAGCTGACTTCAGTAAGGCATTTATAATATCCAAGGGCTTGTTTTCCTTTAAAAAGAAATTAAGAGACTACTCTTATCAGACTCCCCTCCTTAGGTGTTTTGGAAGAAAGTTCCTATGGAACAGAAATTCTGTAACCTAGGATCACAGACCCTTTAAGAGACTGGTTAAATCTTATTCACAGAAAAATGCACAAGCAACAGAATTCTGCAAATAGTCTATAGAACCAGCTAAAGAATGACTAGCCTATAGACAGACAAGACTATGGAAAAGATGGTCAATGTGGCAAGTGGCATCCTTGAGGACCTCTCCCTCCCTTCATTCCTTAACCAGCATGTAGGAAAAAGGTGGGAGTACTAGTGCAGGCCTGTCCCAAGGAATGTGGGGTTCCATTCATGGGCAACTTTGGCTTAGAAGCTTCTCTCTGGCCTAGGGATGCACTGCAGTCTAAGACTATCTGTCAAATCTTTCCTTCCTCTCTCCTTTCAGAGGTGTCAGACTTGCCCTGTGGTCTGAAGACGCCACTGGCCTTCAGAGTATTCATATGGTCTTCTCTTTCCTTTTGTACTTCCCAGGAACTTTACAAATTAAAAAAAAAAAAAAAAAAAGAAGGAGATGGAGATGGAGAAATATTAAGGTTTTAAGAGTTTGTTTGTTTGTTTGTTTTTGAGAGAGAGAACGTGGAGGGTAGAAAGAGAATCCTAAACAGACTCCACACTGTCAGCGCAAAGCCCAACACAAGGCTTGAACCCATGAACCGTGAAATCATGACCTGAGGTGAAACCAAGAGTCGGAGGCTCAACCAACTGAGCCACCCAGGCATCCCAAAACTCTAATAATTCTAATCCTTCTTGGGGTCTGCTTCTAGGAGAATTCAGACTATCCACCAGCATGTGCTGCTGTTTTCACAGCACCTTTACACAGCACTCAGAATAAACGACCTTGGATTCTTCCAATCCTCACTCCAGTAGCACTCTTCTACATAGAAACTATGCCTCTTAAGACAATGACTTCTTGCCCAATGGGATGAAGCCCCTGGAAGCCCACAGGTCAGTGATGTTCTGGTTTCACAGACACCAAGGGTAGTTTTGAGATTTTTGCCTCCAGTTCTAAGACAAGACCCACGAAGGTTAAGCACCAATGGTTATGACAGAAATTGCCATGGAAGGCCAAATTAATAAGGTCCGATGTGTAAAAGGCATTACGTTTGTCAGGCCTGAATATAGGACTCTCACTAATGCTAGAAAAATCCTTCACATTTATACTAATCATGGTTCTTTAATTTTCAAAACCAAGTTCTGAACAGTGATGACACTATTCAACGGGGAGAAGACACCATCAGGTCAAGTAATAACAGCCAAAGCAAAAATCCTAGTCCAAAGTATGAGTGACCTTCTGTATTCACCAGAGATTCCAACAGTTAGTGTGCAACTCAAAGTCAGTTCTTAGGTGTGCCAGCAGAAGCTCTTAAGTATGCAAATGCTCTGTTATCTGGGTGCCCCAATGCCCCAATCATGCTCAGCATTAGCTGAGGCTTTCAGGTGAAGGAGTAGGTGAGATTCTGAGGTTGGATTGTACCAGAATCCAACCAGGCTCTATCACTTGTCCTAAATCACTTCTGTTCCATTGTTAATGTTTAGGACATACAGTATTAAATGACAGTATCACCCTAACCTTTTCTCCTAGTAAGACATGTAAGGATCAAATCAGCATTATTTTTCAATCAGCACTGTGATTAAAACATTGTAACACGAGACAGAGAAGGACCATCTTTTTAATTCAAGTTCCCCTTAAATTCTCAACCAGTAAACTAACCAAATACTTAGTTTTGTAAGCTTTTTCTCTTCCCTTCCCCCTTTATTCTTAGTTTATGATGTTAAGCTCTTAATGACAAAGAAGCCAAGCCCACCTGGGTAGTTTTCCAACACACGTAAAGCAAATCACAGTCATACTTCCATTTTAACCAAGCATGACAACAAGGTGACTGAGTAGCTTTCCAAACTACCAGAGCAGCAGGCACTACCTTGCATAGGCTGGCGTTAAATCTGTACTTCATAAATCGTGCAGGCTCCTGCCCATTTAGATGATCTCTTCTCTGCAGAATCGGCAGTCTAACACTGGTTCTTCCAAGCATTAAAAATCATCACTCTGCTATCCCAACTCACTGTTCAGATGGGTCTTCCTGAATGCAGCCTTTATTACAACCTCACTGCTGCTTCATACACTGCAGGAATACCATGTTTTTTAAGTCAGGAGCTCTCTTTCTCGCTTTATTATAATCAAGGGGTCTTACAACGACCCCGATACTGTTAAAAAGCACGGTGCTTTATAACAGTAAAGCTTCTGGAAAACCCAAACAAAAGACACGTCACCCGGTGACGTCAGCCTATATACAGTTCTGTGTGGTCGCAGCACATAAGCAATTCCATTCTTGTGCCGTTTCTCGGAAAAGCTTTTCAGTAAATGCACTCATGCTGCTCCAGGAGCTCTTCTCTGCAACAAGCCGCCCATCTGCCATCAACAAGTTAAGACCGAGAGAACTAACGGCTGCGGAAAGGAGAGACTGAAGCTTTGATTAACCAGCTGAGCAGTTAAAGGAGGACGAAATTTAATAACTTACATTCAAAACTGATTGAGGAATCAGAGAAGACAGAGAAAATGAAACCAATGCTTTCGAGAGGAATATCCTAAGGAAAAAATAACTCACCCTGCTGGATGATTTTACTCAGAAAGCCTGGGACACAGAAAACAGGAAACTGGTCAAAGGCTCCTGCATGTTAGAGCCTTTTACAGACTCACTGCGTTGAGTCTAACAACCGCGACTGAATGCAGCCTCCAATGTGCTCAGAAGAATGGGTAAGTCCATGCATTTATGTGTCTTATACAGTCAGCAAGGAATCATGCTTTCTAAAATAAGCCACCAAATTCACATTTTATGAGGGAGATCACTGTCAAATTTCTGGGTTTTGAGGTTTAGGTAAAAGCCTATACTGCTAATGACAGAATATTCTTTATCTTTTTTCTTAATGGTTTAAGTTGTGTTCTAGTCATACTAACAAGGTTAGTTTTTCTGCAGCAAATGAAAAATAAGTTATATGCAGTGAAATCTTTCGCCATAATGTTATGTTGTTTTTTTTAAGAGCTCATACATTCTGCTGAAAAATATCCTATCTTCTTGTTTTCCTTAAATTATATTCTGCAGGCTTACATTTCAAGTGGCCATTAGGGGCCCCTATGCTGGCAGCAATATATGCAATGAGTATGGTTTTAAAAATGCTGCCTGCCCTGGGTATGGCGTGTCCACCCAAATGCCGCTGCGAGAAGCTGCTCTTCTACTGCGACTCTCAGGGCTTCCGCTCAGTGCCAAACGCCACAGACAAGGGCTCTCTGGGCCTGTCCCTGAGGCACAATCACATCACAGAGCTCGAAAGGGATCAATTTGCCAGCTTCAGTCAACTTACCTGGCTCCACTTAGACCACAATCAAATTTCAACAGTAAAAGAAGATGCTTTTCAAGGACTATATAAACTGAAGGAATTAATCTTAAGTTCCAACAAAATATTTTATTTACCAAACACAACTTTTACTCAACTGATTAACCTGCAAAATTTGGACCTGTCTTTTAATCAGCTGTCATCTCTGCACCCAGAGCTCTTCTATGGCCTTCGGAAACTGCAGACCTTGCATTTACGGTCCAACTCCCTGCGGACTATCCCAGTACGCCTATTCTGGGACTGTCGTAGTCTGGAGTTTCTGGATTTGAGCACAAACCGTTTGCGAAGTTTGGCTCGCAATGGATTTGCAGGATTAATCAAACTGAGAGAGCTTCACCTAGAGCACAACCAGCTGACGAAGATTAATTTTGCTCATTTCCTACGGCTAAGCAGTCTGCACACACTCTTCTTACAATGGAACAAAATTAGCAACTTGACATGTGGGATGGAGTGGACCTGGGGCACTTTAGAAAAGCTAGACCTGACTGGAAATGAAATCAAAGCCATCGACCTGACAGTGTTTGACACGATGCCTAATCTTAAAATTCTCCTCATGGATAACAACAAGTTAAATAGCCTTGATTCCAAGATCTTAAACTCCCTGAGATCCCTCACAACTGTTGGCCTCTCTGGCAATCTGTGGGAATGCAGCCCTCGAATATGTGCTTTGGCCTCCTGGCTGGGCAGTTTCCAAGGTCGGTGGGAACATTCCATCCTATGTCACAGTCCTGACCACACCCAAGGAGAGGATATACTAGATGCAGTCCATGGATTTCAGCTCTGCTGGAATTTATCAACCACTGTCACTGCCATGGCTACAACTTACAGGGATCCAACCACTGAATATACAAAAAGAATAAGCTCATCAAGTTACCATGTGGGAGACAAAGAAATCCCAACTACTGCAGGCATAGCAGTTACTACTGAGGAACACTTTCCCGAACCAGACAATGCCATCTTCACTCAGCGGGTAATTACAGGAACAATGGCTTTATTGTTTTCTTTCTTTTTTATTATTTTTATAGTGTTCATCTCCAGGAAGTGCTGCCCTCCCACTTTAAGAAGAATTAGGCAGTGCTCAATGATTCAGAACCACAGGCAGCTCCGATCCCAAACACGACTCCATATGTCAAACATGTCAGACCAAGGACCGTATAATGAATATGAACCCACCCATGAAGGACCCTTCATCATCATTAATGGTTATGGACAGTGCAAGTGTCAGCAGCTGCCATACAAAGAATGTGAAGTATAATATCTACCCGTCATCAAAAATTACATCAGATAAGTAACCTATTTTACATAGTAGGGGATAAATACATACCTAATTTTTACCAATGGTGACATTAAGCCTAATTTTCCAAACCAAGTGGAGACTTAAGTTTTTGAAGTGTTGAAGTATTTTTAATTTTTTTTAATGAACCCATATTTTAAGTGTTATATGAAGCAAAGCTCATATTAATTTGCACTCTTGTTGCAAAGTCTAAAAATGCTTATTTCAAAATAAGACATTTCATGTATGTAATTATTATATACTATCATGTGTAAACATTTACACTAAGGTCTCCATATGCTATTTTTTTCTACTGAAAACAGTTTGGAAAGAAGCTACTGAGCAGAAAAAGATATGGATCAATACTTGTTAGATCACTGCTCTCCATCCCAAGAACCACAACTGGCTTGCTGCTTAAAAGGAGGCTTAGCAAAGTTTTCGTCTATGACAATTTGGTATTTACTCAAATCTACAATTTATTGCCAGTGTGGGAAGTAGAATTTCATGTATGCTGAAGACTGGTAAATATTAAACACTCTTCTTCCAGAGTTTTTGCCTGGGTTAGTAGACACTATCAAAGTCCACATTATGAAATCAGAACCCTTTATGTAATTCTAATAAGCTGAGTGACTCTTTAATATATTTAAACAATGAATCCAAGTGATTGTGAAAAGGTCTCATTACAATGAAATCAATAGTAAATAATCACACTGACTTCACATTATACAACTCTAATTTGACTTATAATGGAAATGTTGATTTTTGTGGCACTTAGACAATTTTTAAACTAATCTAAAAATCATCATTTTACTAATTAGTTTACTAAATCCTATATTTACATTTATATGTGAAAAAAGATTTAGAAATTATTTCGGAGAGAAAAGAGATAAACTGAGTCCATTTAACAATCCTGTGACCTGCTCCCTGTAGTATGAAAGCACACACACCAATTCTCTCCGTCCCTCCACAATCAAAGATGCCTTGACAAAGGGGTTTAAACCTCTTTCTTTTGCCTTTTCCTAATCTTCAAACCTCAAAAAGCCAAATTAAAAATAATCGGCTAGCAACAGAATATACTAGAATACAGTACAATGGAACCAAGAAAAAAATCACTTTCTAAATATGATATGCTAAAATTTGACTGTTTAATAAAGATACATATCCATACTGTAAGAGCAGTTCCTTCTAAGTGAAGGGAATAACATTACTGAGGCAAGCTTTCTCATGGGAGAATACCCTACATGCCTATGCAGCCACAAGGATGTGAAGGGATGAAACAGAAAGGCAGCATTTTGAAATGTGACCCGCAGAAACAGTTTAGCTTAAGTTAAAAAGGCAACCAAGAGTGAGGCAAAGGTTAACTACACAATCTGCATCAAACAGGGCAAGGCCCTGGGTCCTGCAGCTGAAAAAGAAAGTGTTAATAGATACATTCCATAATTAACAAATGATAATGATGCCACACTTTTCATGCAGAAAACTGCCGTAAGTATTTTGTTTCTTTGATTATGATTTCTACAAAGAAACTATGACATATTTGGGATTTAGATGAAAGTCACCAATCCATACATAATTTTTCCATAAACGAGGCTCCATGTATGCAGTAGCAAAACCCATTAAATTAGACCACTGACTTAATTTTGAAAAAATGAGCATTTCTACAACTGACATTTAATGTATGTGAAAAAAGGCATGTATCCTTAGAGAAAACCACAACCATTAAAAAAAAACAAAACAGGTTATCTTTTCCTTAAGATGACCATTAACATGATATCCATCATTCAGAGCATATTTTCCTCTCAGGATTGAAATGAAAACATGCTAAGACTACAGTTTAACCCACAAGATTTAATTATAATTTTTTTCTTCTTTAATACTAAGAGAAAGGGGTCTTCTTTAATACATTTCAAAGAAAACATGTCTTGTAAAAAAGCAGATGAGATCACAAATTATTAAGGTAAAATGTGCTCTATTTTTTAAGGTGGATAGATTAGTTTGGCAAAGTCTCAGCCCAGCTGTGTTCAGCTGATCATGAGCGGTGAGCATTTCATTTCTTGTTAAACCAGCCTGGGCCTGCCTGGGCAGAGACAGAAGCTGATTTTACAACATAGAGCACAACTCACTACTTCCCCATGGAGGGGCTGGATCAGAAGCCCCATTACAAATGAGAACTCCACGAGCTAAAATTTACCAACCCATTTATCAGGGTAACCATGGCCATTTGTCTGGGCACAGCTTTGTCACAATACAACTGGGCCCAGAACACAGACTCCACCAGCCCTGAAGGATAGCAATGGAGTATTTTCCATCATTGCATCCACAACCAATATTAACTGAAATTATGAAGAATGAGAAATACTGGCTGAGAATTCCCACAGTAATCTTAAAGATTATAGTTAGTAAAATGGACCACCAATTGACAAAATCCTTAATGTATATAGAAAAGTAAATTGGAAAAGCAAGCCATTCATTAATTCTGGCGAACAGCATAGCAAAGCCACAAAGGAATATTTTCCAGTTGAAAACTGTAAAATTTTTTGCCCTCCATTTTTTCGCTAATGCTCTCAGAGAAAAGTAACAGTGCCAGATAGCATTTTCCTTTTTCCATTTAAAGTGCAAACTTCCCTTTTCAATTGCCTGTAGAAGGCAGGATTCCATTTAATTTTGGCCTATTTGTGTTTCAGTATCAGCACAGGTTTGAAGATGAGACTGTTAGTCATCTGTGCTCTCTTTACCAACTGGCTAGGGTAGAAGAGCATCACAGCTACACTGCAGATCCTGGTAATACAATGTTAGGGCTTTTGTTTTTCAGTGTAGTCTTATCTTCTTCAGCACCTCCTCCTCCCCCACCAACCCTGGCCTTTTTTCACTTTCAAGGTTAGAGGAAAATGATCATTTAATCAAGAACCAGAAAAATAATTAAATCTCTCTGGACAAAGAAAAGCTAAGAAGGCTATGATACTGTACCCACCTAGTAACCCAGAGCTTGTTTGGAATCATTTATATTCATTTCTGTAGCTTGCCAGCGATTTCAATCACTCTTCTGAAATGAGAGTGGGCCGATAAATTTGCAAATCCACACACAACTCAGAGAATACCCACTGCCAACATCAAATAGCAAAGATACTAATTTTTTAAGCCAAAAATCTGCACTAACACATGTAATTTCTTAATGTGCCTAAGTTAATTTCTATACCGATTCAATGAATGGAATTGATTGAACTTTCCAACTCCACTAATTATTAAAATCCATCTGCTTATTCTAATGCTAGTCACCAAGAGCTAGACTCCATCTTTCCAATAAAAATGAGCCCTCTGTATCGCTAGGTCCAAAACCTAAAATTCAAAACAGGCATATCATTTTCTTAATGCATACTTCCTACACAGGTTATCAGGGAATAAAAGGCTGTATAATGCCCCATTCTCTCCCTAAAATGTGGATATCTATATGAAATTTTAAAAGAATATTTTTAGAAGCTTAGCTCCTAACAGAGATATACAGTGACAGACCTGTCTCAAAAGTCTGTTTTAGGCCATGATTTTCCGATCTTATTGGCTAAAGAGCTTCAACTAGAAAAAAACTAAGGATGATAAAGTCATTCATAGACAATTAAATATTTCTGTTCTTAACCTAGGGCAAACTCATAGTGCTTGAATATGGCCAAAAACAAATAGAAAATGGCTGTTAAGCTTTCATCCAGCTATTACAAACATTTAGAAACATCTGCTACTCCTTCAACTAACCTATTCTTCTTCCTTGATAAACTAAAAACAAGTCTGATATATGGAATGTTTGATGAACCTTCTTATCAACACTGAGACTGGACACTAAAAGTCCAAACACATTGTGTTCAATTACCTTAAGAGCCTTTTTTTTTTTTTTTTTTTTTTTTTTTT